CTCCCTGCTACTCGTCCAAGACCCGCGCTGGCGTGCCCTTGCTCGCTGATCGTCTGCTGATGGTGCCATACACGTCGACTCTCACCGCTGACCTCTCCGCCTCCTCCCGCCTGGGCATTGACGACTCCTCCATCCCGGCCGTCTTCCTCCAGTACTACGGCTGTAGCCCTACTCCCTGCGTCGTCTCGGACGAGCTCAACCTCGTGACGGACTTCAGGTAGACCCTGGACAAGCCTCCGGCGCTGAGAGCCCCGCCAGCCCGACGGGCGGCACTAGGCAGGAGGCTGTAGACTATGTACAGGAATAAAGCAACACGTTGCCATGCCTCCCCATCCCCTCCCAGCCCCCCCCTCCCTCCCTCTTTCCCGCACCGACACTGGCCGTGAGCAGGACCGTGAGCTCCATGCGGGAGGGCAGGCGATGCATCGAGATAAGGCGACCACATCAAGAGCGAGGCATCGGGTCCAGCCTGGAGGGCGTGAGAGACCTGCCTTGCTGACTGTCTCACCTCGGTCATGGCCCCTCCAGGTACGGTCCGCTCGCGCGCACTCATCTCCATCGTGAGGAGCATGGCAGGTGGGCCCGTCTAGCGCTTAGGAGGGCAGCAAGTCAGGGAGGGCGGAGAACTGAGCAATGCAAGGGGGGGGAGTAGGAGGAGTTGTCCGATGCCAGGTCGTCAGCAGCTACGGGCCATGGAGTGCAGCCGCTCCCGCAGCTTCTTGATCTGATGCAGGCAGCACTTATGAGTCTCCGGAAGTTTCCGGCGTTCCTTGATCAATTCTTTTACTGTGACTACTTCACTTGTGCCATTTACAACATGAGTCAATCTCAGAGTGAGAGACCGACAGTCACGCGCCGGTCAGAGAGTCCCGGTTACTGCCTTGGAGCTTGATAGTCCTCCGGCACTCCGACTCGGAGGGCCTCGGCGGAGCGGGCCCGCGCGCCGTACTCTGCGGCGGCCCATGCCGCTTCACCGTGCCGAGTGCCGGGCCGCAGTGCCGTGCGGCGGCCGCGCCCGGCACTGAGCGCCGAGCCTGGCAACGGAGTTCCGAGTTCCGATCGCCGGGCCCGCCGGGACGGCCCGTCCAGGCACTGCGGCAGCCCGCGGCCCATCATGCCGTTCAGCCCCGGGGTCGGACCGTACCGTACTTCTAAGTTCACATTTTAGTCACTGACTCCGACAGTGTACGGTGCGGCGCCCGGCCGTACGGCCAGCCGGGTACGGCCAGCCCGGCGCTGAGCCTCGGAGCGGACCGGGCCGGACCGCCGGGCCCATGTCCGTCTAGCCCGTCACGTACGGTACTATACCGCCGGTAGCCTCCCCGGCGTTCAACCATGGCATCTCACTGAGAGACTGGCTGGTCCGAGGGCGATCGGACGGTCGGATCATTCCCGTCCCGTAAAGAGATCGGATCGATCTCATGGGTCGCAATACGCTCTGATCCTCCCTAGGAAGGGTGCTAGTAAGTCACGGGCTCATATGGAGACTCCTAGGACCTGCCGTAAAATGACTGTTTTTCTCGAAAAAGGAATTTTTCGCCTGAATTTTGAAGTACCCTACCCACAGCTAGAACGAGAACTAGGGGTAGTGGTCATGGTGGATAATCCTCAGGAGTAATGGGGTCAGGTGGGTCCTATTTGTAGCCAGGGGTACTTGTAGGGAATAGTGGGGGTACCCGGTCGTGATGAAGCCATCAAAAAAACAAATTATCCAAGAGCTGTGCTTTCGGTCAACTATGCAAAAAAGGAGGGTATTTTAAGATTTCTACAATGATATAGTTTGTCCACCCACCCTTCGCTCCCAAGGAAAGCCCTTTCAGTGGAGTTTCAAAAAGGTCAGTAGGTGGGTAGGTCCAAATTATTGAATGTTAAATTGAAAATTGATTGATTTGTTCATTACAACCCCATTTTTTCAGTTACAAAAGAGGGGTACCCAAATAGTTTGAGAGTTTCTCCTTGAATTTTCGATGTCGCTCCTCCAAAGTGTTTTCCTGTCTTGAGTTATTCGAGAGCGACGATGAGGGTGAAAGATGGGGGTAGGGTGAAGCTGAAATGTGGAAGTTGAGGGGTGGGGTACTTCACTTCCAGGTAGACCCAGGTTGCTGGAGAATTTGGGGGGGTTAAAGCTAGGGAGGACCCCTAGGAGGGTGGGGTACACGCTGCTGCTTGGCTAGGAGTCAAAGGAATTGGGGGGTAGGGGGTGGGAATCATGGGGTGTTGAAATTTGGGGTGGGTTGACAAAAGCAGGGAGGGGGTGGATAATAGGTAGGGGTCGACGAGGCGATGGCACCAGGGATGGCGTCGACCGACGAGGTAAGGAGGAGGCGGAGAGCCGCTGGGGAGGTTTCGAGATCGAGGAGATCATGGTAGGATGGAGGGATGGAGGGACTTGTATCCTTCAGACATGCTGTATGAGGGAGATGATTGCTATCAAGGAGGAGGAGGGCGGAAAAGGGGGCGGGGGTCGTGGTGATTTTATCGACGTGGTCGGGATTGGTCGGAGGAATTCATATTCGAAGGGTTGAGATGAAAGCATAGAAAGGAGGAAGAACATTCTGCATGCTGTCTGTTCGAAAGCGTCAGAGGAGTCCCAGGGCTTGTAGGATGAGGGAGATTTGATGCAGCGAAATGTAGATGCGTATAAGCTTGCTCGCTGTAATCCGATGCTGTCATATACAAGATAGAAGATGGAAATCACCTCTTCTTCGACTGCCTTTTCTGTACAGTGCTGACTTGAATACTCTTCCAGCAGCCCAGACTTAATTTGGGGAGCTTTCATCTTGTGCAAGAAATGCCTCAGGTTGGAGGCGCGAGTGGGATAGTTTGTAGGATGAGATCAAGTCAAACCGGATCGGAATGTGTCTTCAAGCTTCTCGCTCTCCCTCTCCGCCAAGACGGTGTGGTGGCATGAGAGGAGAAATGCTCTCGATGATACCGTGGCATGCAGAAGTGATGAGGTGCTTGGAAGGGATTAGGAAAGCATGGTCTGCTGCAGGTGGGCACTCGATGAAAACTCTTTCCTGTATTGTTGAATGATTCCTTCAACATCTCTTACATCTCCAGAGTTCCTTCAACATCTCTTACATCTCCTTGATGTCTGTACACTTGATGCTGTATGGTAGAATGTGATCCCGTCACCTCTCCCCTCCTTGTTTGGCTTCCCTCGGCGCCTTGCGGCAATGTGTCCTGTACTGACTGGATCCATACAGACGGGCACCCGAACATCTTAACCTTCCTGGACTGCACATACGATCAGGTTGAGGGACCTGTCTGCTCCTCCCTCAGCGTTCATGATGGTGACGAGCAGGCAACGTCAAGGTTCATCATTGCTACGGAATGGATGGATTGCCTTTCACTGCGGGATCACATGCCCCCTGGTCGGCCCATTCCCGAGCCCGTGAGGAGGAGAGGAGGAGGAGATTGATGGGCTGATGTCCCTTCAGGCTGTTGGTGGCATCATATCCCAGACCGTCTTCGGACTGGCCCACCTTCACAGGTACGTGCTGTTCGGGTATACACACGTGTCGACTGATGCTTGTGCTGTGTGAACAGTGTTCAGCACACTGCACATCGAGACATCAAACCCAGCAACATTCTCCTCAACTCAGCAGGTTGGCGCATGTCTTTGTCTAGACATGTCGCCCGGACAACTCAGGTGTACCTTACAACTTCGTCTTGGCAGGGAATGTGAAGATTACAGACCTTTGTCAAAGTCGACAACTTGCGCAGACTCTCGATATGATGGGCACGTATGTCGGTCAGACACTTTACATGTCACCAGAGAGGATACAGGTATGGACGCACAGGATGGTCCTCCTTTGTCTTGAGCGTATCTCTTGATGCTCTTCTACCTCTTTCCTTGGGTGCTTCATCGTGCCGTCTATGACCGGCGATGTTCTTTGTCGTTATCTGTTGCCTTCGTCCTCGACCTTCACTTCTCCTGCTCCTCCTCCTCCTCCTCCTCCTCCTCCTCCTCCTTTCCTGTTGTCCTGTTCTTCTCCTCCTCTCCCCTCTCCTCCTTCGCCTTCTCCGTGTCGTGCTCCTTCTCCTTCTCCTTCTTCTGCTTGCTCTGCCTCATCCTGTCAAGTCTCTCTGCAGGAGAATGAAGTTTTCTCCTCATGCGTAATTTCAGGGTGCTCGTTACACGGCAAATTGTGACGTGTGGAGCGTGGGGTTGATAGCGATGATTGAAGACAACGAGCCTCCCAGGCTGAACCCTGCGGTGACCGCAAAGCTGCTTCCTCCTCCTCATCGATGCTGACTCGCTCCCAGACTTGCGGGGCAACTGAGGAGGCGGCAAACTTCTGCAGAGCGTGTCTAGAGTACGAGTGAGTGTTTCCTCCTTCTACCTCCCCTTCCTTCCACCCAACATCCTTGTCCTCGTCCCGAACTCCCACCCGCCCCCTTGCTCTTCCTCCTTCCCTCCTCCTTCCCTTCCCTCTCTTTCTCCCTCCCTACCCCCCGCATCTCCCTCCCTCCCTCCCTCTTCCTCCCTCTCTTCTCTTTGCCTTCCTCATCTTCTCCCTCTTCCGCTGCTCCCGACTAAACGAGGGCCCATCCGTTGACCGCTGCCGCAGCCAAGAAGTTCGCGTGCATTCGGCGCAGCTCTCGCAACATCCTTGGGTTCAGCGACACCAGCCCCCGGCAGGCTGTCAGGCCATCGCGGGATGGCTGGCGTGTGCTACATAGCACGCGTTACCCGGGGAACAGAAGAGGGGGGGGGGGGGGGGGGGGGAAATGAAGGAGGAAGGGAACGGGGAAGGAGCTGTTTTCTGTTCTTGGTTGTAGATTTGGGTAGGAGAGGTGCGGGTGATTCTTTTTCTCAGCTCCTTGCATTTTGGTCTTTCGCTGCAAGGAGGTTTCAATAGATTGACTTGTAAAGTATGACCCATGTGTAGCTGCTAACACCTGACGGTATGACCCACGTGTAGCTGCTAACACCTGATGGTATGACCCACGTGTAGCTGCTAACACCTGGCCGCTGCAAACTCGACGAAGGGGCGGAAGAGATCGTCTACCTCGTGCTCCAGCCGCATCAGCGACCGCTGCCCCTGTTGAAGCATGTCAGAGGCCATCGAGAGGGAGGAAGAGGGAGGGGAAGAAGCTTGGGGAGGAGCAAGATGATCAGGAGGTCAAACATGTGGCAAGAGGAGGAGCAGGAACACAGGGTGGAGGAGCCGGTGGATCGAGCAGCGGCCCTGACCTCCACATTCTCCTTCATGGTCCGGAACGTCTGTGAGAAGAGAGAGTCGTAGTTGGCCGAGTGGAGGAGCTCCTCCCCGTCTCTTTGATCTCCCACACGCGCCATCAGAGGTCGGCATGTCCTGGGCTCGCTCCTGCCACAACGTTACCTCCCTCCCCTACCCAAGACCTGCCTTCTCCCCTCCTCTTCCTCTCCTTCCTCTACCCCTCTGCCCTCCTCTTCCCACTTCTCCTCTCTTCTCCCCTCCTTGCCCACCACCCACTTCTCCTCTCCACTGCCCTACTCTGATCTCCCATTTCCTCTCCCTTCCGTCCTCCCCCCCCCCTCGCCTCTCCTCCTCCTTTCGCCTCTCCATGACGCACAAGAGCGATTGATCGTATTCGGAGGGCGTCAGCCGGTGCAGAATGTTCATGACTTTGATAACCCTGAGGAGAAGAACAAGTCAGAGATGAGCATAGGAGCCAAGTGAGAAACGAACGAGTTGAGAGATAAGATGAGGGGGATTAGAGGGAAGGAAAGTCGAGGGCTAGGAAAGGGTTGAGAGAAAGGACGGGTGAGGACGAATACGGGAAGATAAGGGAGAGCGGGAGCAGGACGGAGGACGGAGGACGGAGAAGGAGGGGAGGGGAGGAGGAGGACGGAGGAGAGAGAAGCAAGGGAGGACGAAGGGATGCACGAGGAAATGTATATGCGATTACCTTCCGAGGGAGTCTCTTTGTTTGATCGATGTGAGTCGAACAAGAAGAGGATCTATCAGCTTTCCGCTCTGAATTCCCAAGTCAGTTTCTCTCCATCCTCCCATTCTCCTCTTCATCTCGCCTCCTCCTCCTCCTCCTCCTCCTCCTGCCCCCCCTTCCGCTTCGTGTCCCTCTCCCTGCTCTCCCCTCCTATCCACTCCCCCCTTATCCCCCTCCTCCTCCCTCCCTGCTTTTCCACAAAAGTCCTATCCTCCTCGCAATTCTTCTCCCCTGCCCTCGGTCTTCCTGAGATCTCACCTTCGGGATCCCTGCGGAGGACTTCCCCTCCGCGAACGACTTTCGACCAGGACCTGAACGTGATGTCATCTGCCAACAGACTCAATGAGATGTGAGAGGAGAGGCTGAGGGAACTGAACGGGAGAGCGGAGAGAATGATTGTCAACCAGGCAGGGCGAAGAGGAAGAGGAAGACGAAGACGAGGACGAGGACGAGGACGAGGACGAGGACGAGGACGAGGACGAGGACGAGGACGAGGACGAGAGGAGAGGCTAGGGGGAGCAGCACACATGTCATGCTGCCGAAAAACTCGAGCTCGGAGTGCGGAAGTGCGTTGTCGCAGTTGCCTAGGCGCGCGAGCATCTCGTCCGGGTGCATGTTCATGAAGTTTGCGATGCCTGAGCTGATCTGAAGGAGGAGAACGTAAGAGGGAGGGTGAAGAAGAGCAAGGAAGAAGAGGAGGGACGATGAGAGAAGGGAAAAAGGATCTCAGAATAAACAAAATGCCGGAGCAGGAGCAGAAGCAGAAGCAGCAGGAGCAGGAGCAGGAGCAGGAGCAGGAGCAGGAGCAGGAGCAGGAGCAGGAGCAGGAGCAGGAGCAGAAGTCCTGACCTCTAATTTCGTTCGAGACATCGTTAAAGGGTCAACATCCATAATCCAGTACCTGATCCATCTGTCACCTCCAACTCCACGTCCACCATCAACAACAACACTACCCCCTGCACTCTTTCTCCTCTGCTTCCCCTACTACTTTTCAGCGCTGCCCGGCCAACACCCATCCCACCTCGTCCTCAACCATTCATCATCAACAACGTGTGCATCCCTCTTCCTCTCCCTCCTCCTCCTCCTCCTCCTCCTCCTCCTCCTCCTCCCTTCCCCCTCAACTAACCCCGAATTTGAGTCTAGCGGCATAGTGTCCTTCAGATTTTCGATGTCAAAGGGCCCAGCTGCTCGTGATACAATCAGTGTTCCTTGATGTCATCATCATCATCGCCATCTCAATCATCACCAACATCATCACTACCGCCACAACCATTAATACCGCCGCCACTTCTAGCACCACCACCACCACCACCACCACCACCACCACCAGCGACAACAACAACAAAACAAAACAAAAACACCATCAGCACCATCAGCACCATCAGCACCATCAGCACCAACAATCACAAAGTCGCAATCATCTCCAGATTCATTATCATTTTTGTTTTGCATCTTACCCTCTTGCAACTCTGATCTCATCATCGCTGAGAATTCTCCAAACTTACCCCTGAGCAGAAATCAAGAGCTGCATCATGAAAACAGCGCAAAGGAAAGAGAGAAGACAGATAAGATAGGAAAAGACAGGACAGGAAAGGAAAGGAGGGAAGCTGATGTGAGAAGGAGCACGAGAAGTTCAGAGAGTAGCAAGAGGAGCAGGAGGCAGCACGGGAGGAGGAGCATGAAGATAAGTTGCTTGCCCGAGAATCATCCTCTCGATCGATCGGAGCCCGCGATCAAAAGCTGTTCGAACGGCGTAGGGCATTTCAAGGAACATGGTTGTGAGCCTATGAGAACGCTAATGAGGGACCAGGAGCAGAGGAGGAGGAGGAGGAGGGAGGACGGGAGAGGAGGAGAAGGGAGGACGAGTAGGAGGAGGAGGGTAGATGGGCAGGAGGAGGGCAGGGGAGGAACAAGTGAAGGCAAGGAGAGACTGACATATGCGAGCTGTATCCAGCTTGCCAGATTGCTTTCAAGATGAGAGGAGAGAGTTGAATGCGGTGAATGTCTCGACCCTAACATGCATTCAGTGACCCTGACGCAGAGGAGATTTCAGGAAAGAGGCGAGGGAGGGAGGGGAGGAGGGGTTGAGGGAGAGAGAAGACAACAAAGGAAGATATTGAGAGCAAAAATGGCAAACAAAGATGATCGTTCCGAAATTGCTATTAAGTTCAGAGCAGAGCAGAGCAGAGCAAGAAAAAGGGGGAGCAACACAATGAACAAGCCATTACAAAGTTTGTGGCGCGGTCCCATAGAAACAAGTGCATGGCTGTCTGCAAGGGCCTCCAAACATGATCAGTCGACTGCGCTTCATATTCATCCCAGTTGTCCCTGAAACAAACATTCCCATCAGATGCAAACATAACATGCATCGAAAAAGAGAAAGACCAACAAACGCGATTTCACGCTGTCATCTCAACACATCACATGACAATGATGATCGTGTTCACATCGCTTACAGTTGACGGAAGTAAAACTCTTTGATTTCATCGACTGTCTGATTTCTTTCATCATCCTTCTCCCAGCTCGACGTATCGAAACCCCCTCCAAGTTGATAGCTAACAAGATCAAAAGCTGATTCAGGAGGAGGGGAGAAATCTTGAACGTTGTCGTAAAACTCTTCCACGGCCTGCAACAAACGCGTATATCATCAACGTGACTTTCGACTTATGCCATTGTCATCAACCAGCACTTGAATGTATCGTCATCCTTCGTATCCTACCACTAATTTTGCCAACCCTTCCCCTCCTCCCCCTCACAGTACGAACAACACTGACCCTTTGATGCGATTTCGGAGTCTCGACGTTGAGGTGTTGACTTGGAACATTCTCTGAAACATCACCTTCAAGCACACCTGCAACAACCCATCACAGCTCGAACGAGCCCATCGACACCATCAACAAGCTTCGTCCAAGGGGAGGACGATACAAGGACAAGCTCAAGATACATCAGAGACAGAGGGAGGTAGTAAGGGAACGAGTCATCGGCACAGACCAGCTGTTTCCTGCACTCTCTCCCTCTCTTCATTCTCGTCTACGCATTCGTCCTGTTTTCCCAACGAGATACACGTCGAGCCTGGCACTAGAGTGAGCCTCCATCGCAGCCTCAACCTCCTCCCGCACATGGTCGCTTCTTGTCGCACTTGACTTTTCGTCGCTTGCAAGTTGCACATGAAGGCTAAGAGACCAGAGAGTTAGGCGAATGAGGAACACAACCAAGAAGAGCACAACAAAGTCCAACATGCAAGACAGTCGAGCATACAAACATGTTGAATGTTGCTCGGTTAGAAGTTCATGCATGCATCTCAAGCATGTTTTCATGCAGGTATCATGCAGGTATCATGCAGGTATCATGCAGGTATCATGCAGATATCATGCAGGTATCATGCAGGTATCATGCAGGAGCAATACCTTTGGCTCCTTCCGTGTACAAAGTTCTCCCTGCCCTGGAAGGGGCCGTCACAAAGCTACCACAGCCATGTCAACCAACCCTTGGAGATGCAGAGACTGCATGGCATCTTGCCATCGCATTTCCGTTTCTGCACAAGTGTCACATGCCATGTTACATGTTTGACTACCACTCTGCTGTCTTCCACAAAGATTTTACAGCAACAAACATATTCCAACAAGGAACATGCACTACCAAGGACGTAGCACATATCAAGTAAGCTTGAAGCAGATGTGGTGATATTCGTGACCTCCATGATTTGACATGGCAGAGACACAGATATCACAATGCTGAGCAAGCGACAGAGAAGATGCACAAAGGATTCCCATCCACAAACTTGAGGAATGGGTGGTGAACCAATCAGCATGAAGTGCGGCGCTTGTAGGGAGATCGAGGGCAATGCATGCGCAGCAACTTGGTTGGTGTCTTGTTTGATCATCATAAATCTTCTTCTCTCAGGCCATTTCTTACCATTCTTCGGCATTGAACGCAGGCCTTCCCCCACATGCCTTCGCTCATTTTCCGTACGGTTCCGCAGGGTAGTCCGACGGGGAATGCCGCCGGGACCCTACCTCCGCATCAGTTTACCACCCACCCTTCGAGTATGTGGAAGGATTCCAATGAGTACCCACTGCTGAGGAATTTTCCTATGAATGTGGGGGTGTATTTGTTAAGGACGGGTGGTATGTACCTAATTGTTGTGCCACTACCCCTCCATTGAGCTCGGAGCCTTATTATTATGGGGCCACTAATGAAATATCTATTTTGAAATTTACGTACACTTTCATACATCAATTTTAATGTATGGTAAGTCATTTAAATTGACTTCATTCATATATACACAGCGAAATATATATAATTAACCTTATATTATTTGTACTATCACAATAATGACCTGATTATATAAATAACCCTACCTTCGCACACACAGAGGAGAGCAGGTGCCAATTTCGCTTCCACCTGCAACTGGATCCGATCACCGACTGTGATCAGACAGTCTCGTTATTCGTCACTGTCAATGGTACCGCAATTTGTGTCCTGCTACTGCTTCCAGGCAGCTTACACTGTGACGGCGCCGGGCCACGTGACCTCTTGCATACTCTGTACCGGCGTAGGCGCCGAAAGCAGGCCATCCTAATTAGCCAAGAGGTGAAAGTTTGCAAAAAGTTTTTGACCGATAAGATTAATCGCCCCTTATTATGCAAAGACGGTACGTGAGGCGGACCTGGAATGGGCAATTCGACGGTTGCGGCAGCGAACGTGCTTTTTTAACGAACCTGCGAAATGGCAGTTGGTGAAGAAGCGAACATCGTAGGAGAGCTCTGAAGGAGAAGAGCAGATCAGAGAAAAGCAGAGCAGAGCAGAGGACAAGAGAGGAGAAAAGTGGGTAAGAGAGGAGAGGAGAGGCAAACGTGCAGGAAGGACGAGCCGAAGCACATCTCCTGTCCCGTTTGGACACTGCCATTGATCAAGTGACCCGTTCCCCTTGGTCGTGGTGAAATGCCTTCCGACACAATCAACAGCCCTCGCTCCTGGCTGCCTCCCCTCACCTCCAAATCCCAGCAGCTGATCCTGAACAAGACCTTCAAGGGCAATCCTGCTGAAGGATCAGTCTTTGGAGGGACAGTCAAGCTGCAGAAGCTCTCAGAGGAAGACGATGAGGAGGTCGACAAGTTCTTTGTGGATCGCTTCTACCGCCTGCAGGATCGCGGGAGCCGGAAGATTATTCTTGGATGCAAGTACGAGTCGTCCAAGGGGGAAGGGAGGCTAAGGATGGCCTTCGAACCTGACGGCAGTAGCAGCAGTGAGATCTCGACCGTGAGCATCGAGCGTATCCTGTCCCTCGTGCATGATGCCGAGGGCGAGCGTGACTCGCTGGGCTCTGGAGAGATTTTCAGGAGGAGGGTGGAGCTGCTCGCCGAGTGCTGCGGGTGGGTGGAGCTGAAGCAGATGACGCTGAAGCAGCTTGCCCGAGCAGTCGAGCTTTACTTCGAGTCGTTCCAGGAGGTCCTGCTGGGAAGGCCGATGCTCGAGGGAGCAACGGCTACTGTGATGACGGACAAGGAGCGCGCTCCTCTGACCCCACAGCTGCTGCTCGCCAACCACAAGAGGAAGGAGGTAGAGTCTTGGAGGAACAAGAAGCGGGCGGAGGCCAGGAGGAAGCAAGTGGAGATCGACGCTCTCGCCAAATCGATCGAGGAGGAGAACGCAGTCACAGCTGAGCTCATTGTGTCCCCCAAGGCCTGGACGAGGAAGGGGCAGTTGGAGATCGCAGAGATGAAGAGGGCGACTCGGCTGAAGGAGGCAGACAAGGAAACGAAGGAGCGAGAGCTTGCGGCCATCTCCAAGGATGCAGAGATGGATGTGAAGAGTGTGTTGGAGGACATGTGGAGGACGGCAGAGGAGGAGACGAGGAGACAATATGAGCTGGAGTACACCGCGCTCAACGATAGCTTCATCGAGCCGCGCGTGGGGCAGAGAGTCCGGCACACCGCACTCTTCCTCCATCACCTGAGGAGGAAGGGAGGGCTGGACAAGTCCCTTGCTCCGGGCTCCTGCGAGCACCTCAAGAAGACTTCCTCCCGCTGGTTCGGCAACAAGACGTTCCAGGATGGAAACTTCCCTGACATTCCTGTGGGGGTCCTGGCGGACCATGGCGGGGTGGGGACGGTGAAGGTGGTTCACAGGGAGGGAGATCGGGTGCTGGTCTCGTGGGACAGGACTGGAAGGATGGGGTGGTACAGTACCGGGTACATGTGCAGGTACCACCTTGCCATCTGCGATCAGGACGAAGGGGTGGGGACGACAGGGTGTACGGAGGGGCTGACGAGCCTGCGGCTCATGACCAACAGGGTGGACATGCACTTCAGTGAAGCGGCGATGAGGAAGGAGATCAGAAAGCAGAACGCGTTGGGTACCACACGGGCGCTCCCAGACACTCAGAAGGAGGGGCAGAAGCACATTGGAAGGGACTACGACAGGATGAAGGGGACGGGATACCTATGAGTGGATGTGGCGGGGTGGGGCGAGGGAGAGGGAGGGAGAGAGATGTAGGAGGAGAGGGGCGATTGAGCTCAGTTGTCATGAGGGATCATCGAGTTTGGCAGAGACAGTGATAAGACATGAAATGCATTCAGCACGCAAGGCCATTCTCTCAGTGTAATCACCACAACTGTTCCTGAAAATTAAAAAAGGACGCAAAATTTAATTCGCCATACAATACAACAATCAAAACTTATCTACAAATACCGCCTCTCTCTCCCCCCTACATGCTCAAGCACACTCATGCCACGATCCCGTCCGGTTTAGGTCCCAGAGCCTCCGAGCTGTTGAAAGAGTCTCGTATCATGTCCTCCAGCCCCAGCTCCTCCTCCTCCTCCTCCTCCTCCTCCTCCTCCTCGGAGTCTGCCTGTACACTCCGTCAGCCCCTCCAATCGCATCCCTCCCTGCCCTCACCTCAGCCTCCTGCCTCGCCTTGTCTACCCGCTTCTCAAAGGCGGCGTACATGTGCTGTACCCCCAGCTTGTTGCACGCCCACTGCCGCCCCGTCATCTCCCACACCACCTGCACGTCCGCCTCTCTCTCTCACCGCCAGGTAAGGCTTCGCTACCAGCCCCTCGTCGTTGGTGAACACGTCCTCCAGGATCGTCGACAGCTGCTCGCCCTTTCCTCCCCTCGCCTCCTCCTCCAGCGTCTCTTGCAACACCTGCCCAGCAAGTCAGGCCTCCTCCCCTCCCGCTCCTCTGCAGGGACACCTTGCTCAAGCTCCCGAGCTCCGAGAACACCTTCTTCATCCCTCCATGCTTCGGCGGCACCTTGTCTTGCCACTGCCTGTACGCTACCTCCCTCACCGCATGGAACCGAAAGTCTTCCGCATCCAGCGGCTTCTTGTCGGGGCTGCCGCCTTCCGCGATATCATGCGACATGAGGCATTGGAGAGACGTGTAGCGGCAGAGTTGACGTTTCTTCTCCTCTCTCAACTTCCTTTCAGCCAGCATCGCGAGCTCAGCGGCGGAGAAGATGTCTTGGGTCTTGAGTGCGCTCATCCTGAGGTAACTGATCTGTGCAAAGCATCAGGCCGTCAGCATCCATCATCCCTCCTAAGATCAGCATTATGACATTTTGCAACCATTTTTTCGTTTCTTGCATTCTTGTCTAACCTGTGTTTTAAGCTCTTGCTTGCATCGTTCAGCCATCTTTATTGGTCATGCTGGGTCGGGAGGGTTGAGAGGAGCCTTTCGAAACTACCGTGTGCTTTGACATGTTGGTCTTACACTTCAAGGTATAAATAAAGCATTATCTGATCCTTTCGCTGCTGTTTGGCTATTTATGAGATACCCCGCCCCGACAACCAAACACTAACACTCTGGTTTGCTCTCCCCCTCTCCCCCTCTCCCCTTCTCCCCCTCTCCCCCTCTCCCCCTCTCCCCCTCTACCCCTCTACCCCTCTACCCCTCCCCTCCTCTCCTCCTCTCCTCCTCTCCTCCTCTCCTCCTCTCCTCCTCTCCTCCCCTCCTCCTCCCCTCCTCTCCTCCTCTCCTCCTCTCCTCCTCTCCTCTGTTCATCGTTCTCTCTTCCTGCCCCTTGTTGTCTTGACCGTGACATGCGAACTGCCCATTTCTAGTGAACCCTCCGAGCCCAGTACCCCCACCCTCTCTTCTAAAGGAACGATTGCCCCTTATTGCCGAATTTTACCCCTCCTTTGAACGTTTTTGGTACCCCTCCTAGACAAGCTTTAGAGGGTCAAATACTCCAGGTCAATCAGTGTACGTACGCTGTAAGTTCAAGGGGTCGTCTTGTAAATTTGAAATGTCACTTCTCAGGTTGAAAAATTGAGTATATACGTTTTGAAATGGGCTGGGGGTCGCTAGAGCCTGAGATCTGAAAAGATGTCTTTTGAAATCTCGGGTTTTCCCTTGTAAGGTCAACGAGGCCATGACTGCTATTTTAAAAACAGTTGAGTTGCGCAGCGCAAGGCTGACCAGCAGTACGTGATGAGACTGGTAGAGTAGTTAAAACTAGAAGAGACTAGTAAAGGGATCAGACGAGTAGAGTAACAAGAAGAGACTAGTAGAGGGATCAGACGAGTAGAGTAACAAGAAGAGACTAATACAGGGATGAGACGAGTAGAGTAACAAGAAGAGACTAGTACAGGGATCAGACGAGTAGAGTAACAAGAAGAGACTAGTAAAGGGATCAGACGAGTAGAGTAACAAGAAGAGACTAGTACAGGGATGAGACGAGTAGAGTAACAAGAAGAGACTAGTAGAGGGATCAGACGAGTAGAGTAACAAGAAGAGACTAGTACAGGGATGAGACGAGTAGAGTAACAAGAAGAGACTAGTACAGGGATCAGACGAGTAGAGGGATGAGACTAGTAGAGGGATGAGACGAGTAGAGGGATGAGACTAGTAGAGGGATGAGACGAGTAGAGGGATCAGACGAGTAGAGGGATGAGACGAGTAGAGTAACAAGAAGAGACTAGTAGAGGGATCAGACGAGTAGAGTAACAAGAAGAGACTAGTACAGGGATGAGACGAGTAGAGTAACAAGAAGAGACTAGTAGAGGGATCAGACGAGTAGAGTAACAAGAAGAGACTAGTAGAGGGATCAGACGAGTAGAGTAACAAGAAGAGACTAATACAGGGATCAGACGAGTAGAGTAACAAGAAGAGACTAGTACAGGGATGAGACGAGTAGAGTAACAAGAAGAGACTAGTAGAGGGATCAGACGAGTAGAGTAACAAGAAGAGACTAGTACAGGGATGAGACGAGTAGAGGGATGAGACTAGTAGAGGGATGAGACGAGTAGAGGGATGAGACTAGTAGAGGGATGAGACGAGTAGAGGGATGAGACTAGTAGAGGGATGAGACTAGTAGTGTCAGATTGGCTGTAGGAACATAACGGGTGCTTCTTGGCACCTCCTATACTCGCCCACTTCATCTGAAAGGAGACGGAACGACCGCGACAGGGTGCATGGCAAGATAAGCTGAGGTACCATGTGCAGATGTAATCGAAGCTGGTTGCTTCGGTAGAAACCTTCTGTTCGTTGCTAACGTTGCGGCAGAACATTAAAAGAATGAAAATCCTGACAGGCCCCGCAAGAGGAAGAGGCAGGAGGAGAGGGGAGAGATGGGAAGGATAAGAGAAGGAGAGAACCTGAGCACGGCAAACAAGCAGGAAAATCACTAACAAGACTTTCTAGATCGAACAGCTCGAGGTAGAACACTATCGTCCAGGCAACAGGTTCTTGCAATAGAAATGTAGTACCCGAGACAAATGCCAGCTCGCGCATGCGCAAACAAAAGCTTCAAAGAATCACACGAATTCAATCTTGTAACAACAAATAGACAAAATAGAGACTAACACAGAATACATCAACCTCGCCCCCGATCTCAGCCCCTCCCTCCCCCCTGCATGCTCAAGCACACTCATGCCACGATCCCGTCAGGTTTAGGTCCCATAGCCTCCGAACTCACTGAGTCCAAGCCAAACGAGTCTCGTATCATGTCCTCCAGCCCCAGCTCCTCCTCCTCCTCCTCCTCGGAGTCCGCCTGTACACTCCGTCAGCCCTCCAATCGCATCCCTCCCTGCCCTCACCTCAGCCTCCTGCCTCGCCTTGTCTACCCGCTTCTCAAAGGCGGCGTACATGTGCTGTACCCCCAGCTTGTTGCACGCCCACTGCCGCCCCGTCATCTCCCACACCACCTGCACGTCCGCCTCTCTCTCTCACCGCCAGGTAAGGCTTCGCTACCAGCCCCTCGTCGTTGGTGAACACGTCCTCCAGGATCGTCGACAGCTGCTCGCCCTTTCCTCCCCTCGCCTCCTCCTCCAGCGTCTCTTGCAACGCCTGCCCAGCAAGTCAGGCCTCCTCCCCTCCCGCTCCTCTGCAGGGACACCTTGCTCAAGCTCCCGAGCTCCGAGAACACCTTCTTCATCCCTCCATGCTTCGGCGGCACCTTGTCTTGCCACTGCCTGTACGCTACCTCCCTCACCGCATGGAACCGAAAGTCTTCCGCATCCAGCGGCTTCTTGTGAGGGCTGCCGCCTTCCACAAGGCTATCGGTCTGGATGCATTGGAGAGACGTGCAGCGGCAGAGACGGCTCTTCTTCTCCTCTCTCAACTTCCTTTCAGCCAGCATCGCGAGCTCAGCGGCGGAGAAGATGTCTTGGGTCTTGAGTGCACTCATCATTTTGTGCTGATTTGAGATGTGTCGACGGTAGATCTGCATTGAGTGTCAGGGCACGAGAACCCGTCAATCACTACCTAGATTGACATTGTGGCATGTGGCTACCATCGCTACTTGTCTCTATCGTCTGCCCTGGGTCCGGGAAGTGCTTGCATCTCTTTGCCACTAGGGTGGGAAGCGTTGGGAGGAGCCGTTTCAGCTCTACAAACTTCTCATCGTTGGCTCTACAACTTCTCATCGTTGGCTCTACAACTTCTCATCGTTGTTTCAGTTGTTGATGACTCTCAAGGCAAGCTCGTTCGCTTACGCTATCTGCTCCTTGAGAAGAAGCGTTCATCTCCCTAGTGAACACTCCCCTCCCCCACCCCCACCCTCCTACGGGAAAATATGCCCTCAAGAATTGTAGAAGGTACCCTACCTTTGAACTGATTTGTACCCACCATTTCGAGGCGAATCACGCTATTCACCACCTACCCCCATGGGTATCGGTCCACGAAGACGTCAGATCCCAAAAGTTGAGATCTGACCCGTCGGTCAACACTTGTACAGTACCCGGTCCTTTAAAGAAGGGTTTAAGAGGCGGACGACGGGGTAGGGGTGGTTATTTCCGCTCAAAGGCTCAGAGGCTGACTTAGCAAAAGGTCGCGGAGCATCACTGCAGCTGTTGTAAACTGAGCTCATGATGACATTGCTGACGTTTCCAGGCTTTACTCAAAGTCAGTGTAAGCCTGCCACAGGCTTGCTGTCACGCGAGTCACGCGGCGCGTCGTGTGTGACTGCGCGCGGCAACTCGCCGAAGGCTTGAACTTCAAAGGAATCAACAAATCAAGTTTATGAGTCATTGGGTCAAGCTGCCGGGCTCCGCGGCCCGGCCGCCCGGCCCGGGCCCGGCCGGGCCCCTCAGCGGCGCTCGATCGGACGGCGGGCCGTGGTCCGATCCGAGCGTGGCAGTAATGATTGACGGGCGCGGCCCGTGACGGTGCCCGGGCCAGTCACTGCCGGCCGTGGGCCGTCAGCATGATAGCGCCGAGTTACTACAAAACTCTCTGGAAACCAAAGCTTAAGACGACTTACTAGTTAAGTTACTATCACGTGTTTCACTGGCAAGCGGCGGCCATGGCACGGTCACGGTACTAGGCTACGTTACTAACTGCGGCATGTGCCAGACCGTCCACTCTCAGCGGCAGGGGGCGCCTTCGGAAGTTCCGAGTTCACTGAGTCTGAGCCTAGCCCATCCGATCACCGTTGAATGATCCGGCGGCGGCCAGTTTGGATGCTCAGTTGGGCCGCAGTTCCCGCGGTGCAACTTCAGGAGCGGCGAGCTCGGAGTCCGATCGGGCCGGCCGCGGCGGCGCCCGGGCGAAGCCTAGGCAACTGACAGCACCGGGTCCGAGTCAATGCAAAGATCCAAGACCGGATGCGTTTGTAAGTCGGATGACCTGAGATCGGGCGTCTTTGCGAGGCCGACTCAGGCCATCATGGCATCATGGCATCCGCCGGGCCAGCGCTGCCGTTTCCAGGCTTGCAAGCCTGAGCCTTCGCCGTTCAAGTTCAATCACCGTGCCACTGTTGATGTACTTTACTCAAAGTTAAGTTAAAATCAGTACGAGGACCATTACAGCCTGATGACTGAACTTCAAGAGTAGAGTCATGGGCCATCACGTGACGTAATCTCTCAGAGACTCCACTTTTACTCAAACTTAAGTTAAAAATGAGTACGAGGACAAGCAGGAGGGTCCTAGGGGTGTAGTAAATTGACTTGTTGTACCTAGACTTTACTCAAAGTTAAGTTAAAAATCAGTACGAGGACCATGCTATGAGGTACCCACCTCCACCCCCCGGTCAGAGATGATGGGGAACTTCCGAAAGTCATCACGAGTTGACTCCGGGACCGGGAAGATTGAAGACTCCGACCGGGTGGGGGGTACAACCCCCGGGGGTGGAGGGGGTATGACGGGCCCCCACTTTCCCCTTTCGAACCGGGTCACCGAGGGTACCAGGGGTACTCTTTAGTCCCCGAACATTGTAGGAGTACACTGGTAAGGGTCCTCCGGAAGTTGACCCTAGAAATGGGGGTGGGTGTAGCCGGGGGGGGGGGGGGAGGGGGGTATAGACGGCAACCGTGAACAACTTATCTACTTGTGGTGGGTGAACCAGGGGGTGGTGGGTGGGGCCGGGTGGTCGATTCAGTGAAGGCTGGCAGGAAGGCCCCCGGCTGGGATCATCAGAACGGGGGTGGGGTACCAGGCCTTGGGACCCTTGACGGTGGCAATTGGGGAAAAAGGGGGAACATAGAGTATGGAACGGTCCCTAGTAGACAGGGTAGGGTGGGGACTCCAGTGGTATATCAGTCAACTTGGGGTGGGGTGGGTACGGAGTGGGGAATCATAATGTCAGGTGCAGATGTAAGGGGGTAGTTAGGGTACAAGGAGTAAAAACTTAATAATACGAGTATGGGTAGGGTGGTATAACAATTCACTCCCATTGGGGTGGGTTGTTGTGGGATGGTTGGGGATCGGGTACCCCTGCTGTGTACTAACCAGACACCTGTAAGCATGGAGGTGGGGTGGTAGAACGAAGGGGGTGGTGAATTCGTATCAGTGTCTCCTTGTGGGTGGGTAGTCTGGGTCCTATGTTGACAAACATGAGCTCGGACTGAGCGAAAAGATGGGGAGGAGGAATGAACAAAAAGGAGAAAGAGAAGAATGAGATGTAGAGTATATGGGAGAAAAAGCTGATTTGATGATGACAATGATGGTGACAAGGACGATGACGACGATTATGATGATGATGTTAACGATGAGTTCGCTACAACGACGTTACGAGAGTAGATCGTGGAGAGACTTTGAATGAAACTAATTCGAACATTTGTGCGGGAGGATCTTTGTAGTTGAGATAGTTATATACACGATTTTATGCCATGTTCTGACAGTGTCTGTTGATCTGAAACGAAATCCTGGCGAGTCCGCATCATTAAGCTGAATTTGAGATTGCTGCAAAGAGGAAGAGAGAGGAGCTGGGCAGACGACGGCTCTCTGACATGATTGCGTCGAGCAGCAGGATGAAGAGTATGGAGAATCAGAGCACGATTGTCGACACGATGACTGAAGGGCTGAAGCCGTTCCAGCTCCCTGGCAACTGGGTTGACGGCTTCGTTATGTCGTTTGTAGCTTCGGGGCATGAAGGTATTGACGAGTATTTCTGGCAGCAGGGCTCCTGAATCGCATTCGCCTGCATTCTTTCTTCATCTTTGATCTGCGCCTTTGACTCTCTTCCTCGACTCCTCAACTGCTCCTCCCTGTCCTCCTCGTGCACATCCTCCTCCCCATCCCCTTTCCTGTTTATTATGTGAATGTTGGCTGTGCTCCAACCGGCTATGTTGATAACAGTGATTGGTCATGTTTGCAGGTGCGATTAGCGTGAAGCAAGACGATAGCAGATTTGTTTTCAAGGTAGCTGCTGACCCTCTGTTTTCTTCTCATATCATTGAACCTTTGCTCGCAGCGTGTTGACCAGAAATCCGACGAGTTTCATGCCTACGAATCTCTTCCTCATGAATTGAAGAGTTTCTGTCCGAGATATTTTGGTGAGAGCAAGGCATATTTGGAGTGCGATGATGACAAGAGTTGCAGGAGCGCAGCATATCGAAGGTTGTTGAGTTCAGAAGCAGACAGACCGTGACCTGGACTTACCTCGTGCACTGCAGGAGATACTTTCCTCATGTTAGAAACCTTGTGTTCGGCATGAAGAATCCGCATGTGATGGACATCAAGGTTTGATCCCTGCTTGCCCGATGCCACACCTGGATGACAGTGGAGGGAAGATGGGTACAAGAACTTTCCTCGAGACGGAAGTGGTGAACGAGAAAAGGAGGATGGATCTGCTAGCGAAAATGATAAAGGTGATGGCGATGAGAGGAGAGGGGAAGGTGGTTGTGTGACGGACCTTGCAGATCGACCCGAATGAACCCACCGAGGAAGAGAAAGAGCTCGGAATCACAAAACTGAGGTCATCCCCTCCTGCTCCTGTGCTTTGCCTTCTCTCTGCTTCTCCTCGCTGTCCTGTGCGAGCTGAAGGAGGGACTTCAGGTACATGCAGTACCGAGAAAAGTTGTCGACGTCGGAGAAGCTTGGCTTTAGAATTGACGCGATCAAAATCCACGACGAGGAGAGACCGTCGTTATCACAGGCGAGTGAACGACAGGAGGAGGAGGAGGAGGAGGAGGAGGAGGATGTGGAGAGGAGGAGGAGGAGGAGGAGGAGGAGGAGGAGGAGGATGTGGGGAGGATGGGAATGGACGAGGAGGAGGCGAGAAACAGGAAGAAATTCATGGATGAGACTTGGATAAAGAAGAACTGATTTGGCAGGGATGCCACGAGCAAAGGGGAAGGGGGGGTTGGTAGATGAATCATGTACTAGATGCGAGGGCAGAGGAGATGGGAGAGGAGATGGAAGAGGAGATGGAAGAGGAGATTGATCAAGGGAAGGGACTAACGGTTACTCACAGGAGCATGCCAAGAACATCTGCGATGTGAAGGGAGTCCATGAGGCTTTCAGGGTCTTCCTGTGCGGCAGGACAGACGTGTGGGAGGCGATGCTGACACAGCTCAAAGAGGTTTCTTGACTGCACGCCTCCTCTATCTTCCCCTCATCCGCCCTCCCGTTTCCCCCCCCCTCCCTCTCTCCCTTTTGGCCTCTTCCATCCCTGCTCGGAATGCTTCGTCACTGCCCCTTCCTCCCTCCCTCCGCCTTCGTCTCTCTCTCTCTCTCTCGTCCTCCCCTTTCCCTTGACTGTCGCACTCGCCGACTTCATGCAGCTGCGGAAAGTGCTCGAGGCTTCCGAATGGTTCATGAAGCACGAGATCATTGGCAGCTCCATCCTCTTCGTGTTTGACAAGTAAGAGAGAGAGAGAGAGGAGGAGGAGGAGGGGGGGGGGGGGGGGGAGGAGCGAAGGCTTTGGGGGGGGGGGGGGAGGGGGCAAAAAGGGGGGGGGGGGGGGGGGGGAAAAGGGGGGGGCGGATGGGGGGAAAAAGGAGGGGGCGTGCAGAAAAAAAACTTCTGGGAGCTGTGGCGGCGTCGCCTCCCGG